TGGTTAAAACGCTGTACTGCAGCTAAAACTGTGCTCACGACCTGGGGTTCAAATCCCAGGTAGCCGGCTCAAGGTTGACTCAGCCTTCCATCCTTCCGAGGTCAGTAAAATGAGTACCCAGCTTGCTGGGGGGGGGCAATGTGTAGCCCGGAGAGTGCTTGTAGCGCTATGGGGCAGTATATAAGTCCTAAATAAATAAATAAATAAATAAATAAATAAATAAATAAATAAATAAATAAATAAATAAATAAATAAATATGCCTACTGATGGAAGGGTCACTGTAAGGGAGATTGCTCCCTGCAAAGTGATCTCTTCCAGTGCAATTGAATGTATAACTTCCCACCACCTGATCCTACCTTCAGTGATACCAAGAACATTTATTACACATTTTTGTCATTCAAGACATATTGCACATCTGGTTATGTCTAAAGAATTATTTTTATTAAGGCAGGATATTGATATACTGATGGAAGGGTCACTGTAAGGGAGATTGCTCCCTGCAAAGTGATCTCTTCCAGTGCAATTGAATGTATAACTTCCCACCACCTGATCCTACCTTCAGTGATACCAAGAACATTTATTACACATTTTTGTCATTCAAGACATATTGCACATCTGGTTATGTCTAAAGAATTATTTTTATTAAGGCAGGATATTGATATAAACCTCCAAATATTTTTTTGCGTTTTTAAGTCTGAAAATGCTTATCAGACATCACAACATACTTCTCTGTTTTACAATTTTAATAACACCTGAGGTATCCTAATTTGTAGCTTAAAGGCTAAAAGTTAGATATACAGGGCTCGATATTTGGAATCAAATATTTAATACAGAATTTATTTGGATACTTTTATTATTATTTAGAGATGGGTATGAACCGTCACAGTTCAGTGGCTGGCGCCACTCTGGCCTTTCAGCTGCATAGCTGTTCCATAGGTGCTCTGACTTTTTTGCCCTGTCTCATCTGGCAGATGCCCACTCAGAGGCATTGACGCAGCTTCTCAGCCCTGCCTCCTTTAGTGCACGCCCTCTCTTCTACTACTACTACTACTACTACAACCACCAACCACCACCACCACCATCATCTAACAAATACAAAAAACTGTCTTTAATTAATATTTCATAACAGATACAAGTTTTAACCAAAAATCAAAGTATAAATATCACTATAATATATAGGCTGTTCCTCATATTGCTGATATTTTCAGCTCTGATGGTGTTATTTCAGAGGAATTATATTCCGTGGCATAGTTCCCAATGCTCTGATGACTATGGGAACTATGGAAATATGTTTCACCCACAAGTGAGTTACTTCTGTTGTCGGGTACATATATTTTGTTATTTTTTCCAATTCTACTTCTGGACTTGCAATGTCAATTATTCAGATATTTCTTCATTCTGATGTATTATGCTCATGTGTTATTTCAGAGGAATTATATTCCGTGGCATAGTTCCCAATGCTCTGATGACTATGGGAACTATGGAAATATGTTTCACCCACAAGTGAGTTACTTCTGTTGTCGGGTACATATATTTTGTTATTTTTTCCAATTCTACTTCTGGACTTGCAATGTCAATTATTCAGATATTTCTTCATTCTGATGTATTATGCTCATGGTGCTCTTCTATAATAATAATAATAATAATAATAATAATAATAATAATAATAATAATAATAATAATAATAATAATAATAAATAAAAAAATAAATAAAATGTTACTGTTATTGTTATCACCACCATCATCATCACATTTTCTTACCATATATCAGGGCTAATATGTCCACAACCTCTGGCATGTTTGGTATCAAATATTGACAATAGCCCAAAATTAAATGTTAAATTCTGCTCATTTTTCCTCAACACTAAGGATTTCTATATTTTATGTTTTTATTTTATTCTTTATTTATGCTTTTATTAAATATTCTGTCCCTCTTTCAAAAATACATAATAATTACAAAATGCCAGTTATCAATATTCAAAAACAGAAGCCTAAAAACAAACTCCTGTTCAAGGCCTGGCCCAGGTCAAATCCATATGAATAACCTAGATGCTGCTAAGAGGATTAAGCATTTTGTTTAAATATTAATTTAAGCTGTTCAAAAACAGATATGTACAGCATATATAATTTGAATTCATATGAAATGAAGGTAATCTCAGCTCAATGATACTAAGAGTTCCCATTAGTTTTGTTTTGCAGAATTTAAATAAGGGGACTTATGATGGCCTATTCAACCTTTGAACTGCAGAGCTGGAAGGGACCTTATGGATTATGAAGACCAGCTCCCGCCAAGGAGGCACAACGGAGAATTGAACTCCCAACCTCTGGCTCCGCAGCCTAAGCCACTGAGGTATCCAGCAGCATTAATTCAGATAAATACCAAATGACCGGGGGGCAGGGCGGAGGAGTGCTTATGATCTAACAGTTTTTTCTTCATTCCTGAGAATGCTAGATATCATATTATTTAAATCCAGATGAAAATGATGCATCACCATATTAAGGGTAAGAAACCTCCTTCAGCCTGAAGGCCAAATTCAATTTCAGAAAAGTTCTTAGGGACAAAGGGTTCAATAACACATGCCAAAAGAACCCCGTTATACCAGTTTTGCCGTTATTTAGATCATTTCAAAATTTTCTGTTCACATGATGCACAGCTAAGATTGATTAATTTCCTGTGGCATTCCATTTATTTTCTCCTCACCAGTGATGTTGTTTTAAAATGTACTGATCATGTATCTAATCATTTTGATTCTCCAAGTGTGAACATTGTGGTTGATTTGTTTACTTTGCAAAGGGCTCAGGTTTTTGGACCCTATGGCCACTTCATAGCCACTGGAATAATACCCTTAAGAAAAATTAAAGGCATCTTGGTAAATTCTTGGTGTAGCAGCAGCCACAAAAACAACAGGAACCCATCGCTCAGAAGGCGACAGCCTTCGTCCCCACTTGTGTGTAGGGAAAGACGGCTTCAGCAGAGAAAGGGCCATTTCCTGCTTGGGTTGTTTGAGAGGGAAAGAAAGAGGCGTCGGCATTTATTAATAAAGTTTCTTTTTAAATTAAAAAGTGGATGGGTGGGCCAGGCAATGCCCTAGAGTCATCACAATAAAAGAATAAATGTAAAATACTTGCCCTATGTAGCCTGCTAAAGTGGTTTAAGTAGTTGGAAATGAAATGATTCTTTTCACAACAATGAAAATGTACCCACTGATATACACACTATATTACAGTGGTGCCTCGCATAACGAGTGCACCGTTTAACGACGAATCCGCACAGCGATCTGTTTTTTGCAATCGCTAATGTGATCACATTGCGATGTTTTAAATGGTAAAACATTGCGTTGGGATCATCGGTAAGCGTTTCGCTTACCGATCTTCGCATTGCAATGTTTTTAGAACAGCTGATCGGCGGTTCCAAAATGGCCACCGCAAGCATTTTCGCGCGGTTTCCTCGCTTAAGCCGCGAAAATGGCGGCACTATGGAGGATCTCCGCATAGCGGTGAGTTTGGGCCCCATAGGAACGCATTAAATGAAGTTTAATGCGTTCCTATGGGGTTTTTAGTTCCGTTTAGCGATGTTTCCGGATAGCAATGATTAATCCGGAACGGATTAATGTCGCTATGCGGGGCACCACTGTATATTAAAAAATGAATCAATTCACAAAAGGGGTGAAAATAAAATGATTATTTTGGCACATGTAATCTAGCCCTAAGGTAAAAAAATGGAAACAAAAATACCAAAATATTTAGCTTAATGCTCCTACTGTCTGCAAGTAATCATTAAGAGGAGCCCTGCAACTTTACATGATGCGAACCTCAAATAGGCTTGATTTGGCCCCATGGCAGCAGGTTCTTCGCCCTGACAATATACATTAATTTAAAATAAAATGCTGAATAGCCTTACCTTTTTCTTTTTCCTTTGAGACATCTCTCCCTTTTCTGCATCTTCTGAAATTACATCAACTGGCCTTTTATACAGAGCATGGAAACTCCGAAGGCTACCGGTATCTTTATTGTCATATCCTTCACTGACATTCAGATCTGCTTTCACATTCTGCCTTTTCAACTGGCATGCTTTTCTCCAGTTTTTAAGCATTTGATGTATGACTAAAGGAAGGGGTGATTTTCTTTGTTCAGAACAGATAAACCTCATGTGCTCAATGGTTTTCATGATTTTCATAATATGAGCCATTTTTCCTAAATCTTTTCTTTCAGCTAACATCAGTTTTTCAAGAAGGGAAGAAAACTGGTTGTAGTTACATTCTAGTTCAGACACAGTACTCCCATAATTTAAACAAACGGTATAAGGTACCAAATCAACACACATGGAGATGGGAGTCTTAGATGTTTTTAGCAGGTTTCTAGTTTCTGAAAGTTCTGTAAGCTCTCTTGTGAGAAGATGGCGTGCATATGGGCAATTTACATTTTCTGGATACTCATATATAACATTCAATTCATCTTGAAGTTCAGAGATAGCAGACTCTATGATTTTTGAAAGGTTGTCTTTCCGGTAAGATAAGGAAGCCATTTTTTCTTGGGACCGAAAGAGTTCGGGTAGAAGTGATAAATCAAACCATAATAAACTTCTAAATCTTGGTTGATTTTCTTTGCTTGCTATTGAGTTTTTAAGGAAAAAAACTGTTTCGTATGTCATTGCCATTTCAGTATAAACCTCAACAGCTTCAGGTTTCAAAATCAAAGGGTTTATGCCACCATCTTTCATAAATCCCAGCACATTTTCTTTTGTGATCAAAACCCTGACATCCTCTTCTTGCAGAATCTGAAAATACTTTTTCAGCATTTCCATGTGCTCTGTACATCTGAACATGAGCTGCTGTAATCTTTCAGTGTTTGCAGACTGTGCTTCATCCAGTATTTCACCAATGCAACAAATGTCCTGAGGTAGAATAAGAGAATCTCTAGTGTAAGGGCTTGCTTTTTGTTGCCCATTTCCCTTTTCAGAAATATAACATTCTTCTGCAGATCTCTTTGTAATGAATTCTATCATACGTTCATACGTTTCACAACACTTGGATAAGACAGTTTCATTGGACATTTGACCACCTTTTAAGTGTTCTTTTAAGGATTTTGTTCTCTCTCTCCACACAAGGCTTTTAGCAGCATCAAAAAATATGTGCTCAAGGCCAAACAATGATGTTTTTATATTCATCTCTTCACAAGTCTTTATAAATTCTACCTTTGTAGCAATAATTTCCACTATAACCCAAAAATGGTCTTCTTTTTCAGCATTCAAATTAATGCGTGGGAGGCTCCTAGATAAATTTAGTAAATTCATTGTAGTTTTTCTTATATCTTCTAAGTCCTCTAAAGTATCACCATAGTTAGCTCCGCAAACATATGGTACAGAAAGAAAAAAATCAGTGGCATTGAAATCACTTGTCATCGCTGCTTCACATTCCTTGATTTCACGTCTTGATTTCAAGAAGGTATAGTAAGAGCTATTTTCCCATCTTGTGTTCTCAAAGATGTCTACTAGTTGTTCGTGATAGCTCTGTAACTCACTAAGAGCACTGTATTTTAACCTCCTTTGAAATGCAGGGTAGAAATTTGACTGTTGTTGATATCCTGACTGATCACCAAACAACTCATTACACAGTGAATCATCATACCAAAGTAAGCTTCGGAAAGTTGGTTCACCTTCTATAAACCTCTTCTTATTTTCTAAGAATTCAATTGTTTCCATTATAATTTGTAGTTCAACCAATGATTCTATAGCTGAAGGCTTTAATTTACAGCTGAGTGGCATGTTTTCCTCCACACTCTCAAGTATGGCTCTGGAAACCAGAACACATTCAAAACAGCAACCCTGCTTTTTTTCAAAAGCTTTAATAAACAAAGGAAGAAAGTATCTGCAAAATATAATCTGATCATGTAAAAAATTCGAAGATGAGGTTTCATCTGCCTTTTGCAAGACCTCTGACATTTTAATTTTAAAATCAGAACACTTTAGTTCAATCTCTATTTGTGTACATTTAATGTCACAACTGTGATCTATATAGTTGTTGGAATATCCACCTGAAAATGGGTTTTCAGTCGTTCTAGTCCCAGGGAATATACAATGTTGATTTGTTTCATTTTGCTTGATATCACAAGAGGCAATGGATAAAGTAGAGTTTGCATTAATAGTTTCAATGTTGTGCTCTGAAACAATGCTTAACGGTGAATTGGAGTAAAGCCTTGTACTCTTTGAGATAATCTGCTTGCTGGCAGATTCCTTAGGTGGTGTGATGTGACCTGCATGAGATGTTTCTTTCTGTTCTAAACTTATGAATGGCTTCAGAGAAATGTCATTCATGATGTGTGGCTTTAAATTAGAATTTTTTTCCTTGATTTCCAATACCTCACTTTCTCCTACTTTTTTCCCTTGATGCTCTGGTAGCACAATGTTATGAGATAACAGAAGCATGCCATTATCTACCAAGGGCATAGGTGGCAGCACATATCCACTTGATGAAACTCTCTCATTATTCTTCTGTGCTGGAGATACTTCCAGAATTCCGTCTTCATTAGAAAAATCATTTTCCAGGATCATAGAATCATCATCTGACTGAAGAGCATTTGCCTCCGCAGAAGCTTTTACAGTGGTTTGAAGTGATGTGACAAATGTAACTGTACTCATCTTTACATCAGATTTACAAGTGCCTTCATCTGCTTGATGGACAACTAACTTTTTTGGTTCAGGGGCTGAATTCAAACATTTTGCAATATTTTCACTTGCACAGCTACTTGCTTCAGAATTGGAGTTTTCCTTTGTGCTTTCCATGGTAGTTGTCACATTTTCTTTGATACAATTTTCATAATTGCTCTGCTCATTTATCATACTGTGCTCATCAGCACTGGTCAGTATAATGTTTCCAAGCTGCATCGTATCTAAGTTGGTAGATGTTTCAGACACTCTTTCCATTTCTGTTATTGTCATATTTCTTACACTGGCACTGCTACAAGACATATCGAAAAAGGAACCAGGTGTTACAGAAAAATCAACAGGTGAAGATTCACAGGGTAACACTTCATGTGTTTTTGATGAGTCACCTGAATTTCCCCTTCCAGCGTTTGTCACATTTTTTAAAGACTGAACTCTCCTCTGAGCTTTTCTTAAGTGAAACATTACTCTATCTATTTTTTGGGAAATAAGTTTGTTTTTACATAGCGATGCTTCCGTGTTAAGTGTATTCAAAATATTCTTAATATGCTTTTCCGACTGTGCTATCTTTGTCAACCGCCCCTTTGACAATGAAAAAAACATTTTAGATGAACAGCACTTAAGTTCTTTCTTTCCATTATAAAGATTATGCTTATTTTTACTTTGTGTATATTTTTTCATCATTTTCTTTCGCAACCATTTCGTTCCACTTCTTTGTCTCGGACATTTATTAGAACTTTTTCCAATTTCTAATTTTAGTTCTGATTGAGATGAGTTGGTTACTGTAATCTGTAAGTCAGGAAACACTAATTCAGGTGGTTTTCCTACCACAGAAGAGTGCGCACTGTATAAATAATCATTCTCATTCTCATTCGTAGAGGGATTTCCTGATATCTCAGCATTCTGACTTGCTTTTCTTAACAAAGTATCCCAATCCATTCGTTCTAGTAAATAATAATAGGCATCCTTTTCATTAGTCATGTTTCCATGATTACATGGCTTATGTGGTACTGACAGACATTTTGTACATTTTCCAAGCACCTTTTCAACCTCATTAGGAATTTTCAAGTCCTGGGTATTAATATCCCCACATTTCACCTCTATAACTTCTTCAAACATTTCTGGAACATTCCCTTGTTGAGACAAGTTACTGTTCAATAAGTCAGAATTTGAGTCTGAAGATCCTGCATAAACCTTGTTGCTGGTACTCTCTTCAGCAGAAATCTCCTTTATGTCATTTATTGTACATACTTCTCTTATACTTATAGATTCTTTTGCTCTTTCATACGTTGAATACATTTGTTTAATGCTTCTTTGGGTTTCAGACATGTTTGAATTTTCAGACTCTACAGCAGTTGGAAACTTATTTTGTTCAAACTGCTCTGCACTAATTTCATTTGAAGGCCACTGACAGATAAAGTTATTCTCATCCCAGACTTCCTTCACAACATTTTCAGAAACAATGCTTTCACAAATTCCCAACTGTAAAGTAGGATTCTGTAAAGTATGGATTTCACCAATATGTTCTCCTGATGAAGTACAGTTGCTTCTAACACATTTTGTACCAGTATCTGTTGTGCATTGTACCCCAGAAGTGTAAATGTCATCATCCTCTAACCGGCTAGTCATTTCTTTTCTATCAGCCATCTCATCAGTTTCAAATGTTTCATTTATGGGATTTTGTTTGGATGTACAGATGTCAGTAACCTCACAGGACAGTGGTTTGATAATAACATGTTTCTTGTTAATTGGATGAGAATCCTGACATTTCCACTTATCATCCACTGTTTTAGAAGAATTCAGTTGTGAGGAGGTCACTTCTGAGTATGTCATTCCCTTTTCTCCTTTGGAATTATCCACCATGACTCTATGTGGATTGTTGCTGAATTCCTTAGATTTTAATAACCCAAGAGCTAGATAAGTTTCCAAAGCATGATCAGTACGAGTATTCTGAGAAGACAGAATTTCTTTGTTTACAATACCTAGCCCCTGATCACCACTTAACAGATACGGGGACACACCCTCTTCTGTAATATTTTGATTCCATGTTTTATCTGTATAGCATCTTTGGCTAAACATATTCTTGGAATTAAAAAGGAAAGAATCCTCAGGTACAGTGTTAGGTACTCCTATAGTGGCAGATAATTTCATTTCCAAATTATATTCCAGTTCGTTTTCGTGATGTGAACTTCCACTGAAGCCAGCCTCTCCATTTTGCTTCCCTAGGATTTGCTCTCTTTTTGTTAACCTTGGATCCTTAATAACTTTTGAAGTTATTACAGTACTTAAGGCACTATCATAGTTAGGAGAAATTCCAGAATGTATTTTACTTCCCATGTGTTTACTTCTAATATCTCTGCAGACATCCACAGGGGAAACATATTGAAGAGCTGGTTTATCTATTTTCACATTTGTGACATCCCATTTTCTAGTTGAATCATAGTTCATTTTTCTACCTTGGGTTTCAGCAACAGAACTACTCCAATTATGAGCGTCCCCAGAGAAAGGGGAGACTTCAGCAGATGCATTATTCTCAGCATTTTCAGCACAGGTGTCTACAGGCTTTCTGAAATGTTCATAAATTAGCTGAGTTTTACCTATCCTTGTCACTCTTGTACAGTTTTCCAGTGGGAGACTTCTTCCTGTGGATGGAAGGTAAGAGATAAAATTTCAAATTTCATTTTTATTAAGGTTATGAAACCTTAGATATGGAAAAAATGCTTTGATCAATCTATAATGCAGTCTTATCAGTCAAACTGTGGCAGTTTTGATAATGCTTTGCTGAACTGATTCAAGGTCCTGCTAGGAAAAAGCCCTGCCATAGCCTCAGTGAGACAGTGGACTCAGGGAGTGGAGTGGCAGGTGATAAATACATCACTCCCCTTCTCACCACCACCATCCCAGAAGGGCTTCTTCTCACAGCAGCTGCTTTCTTCAGAACCACCACACCACATCATCCTCTTCAAACGCACAGGAGCCATCCAAACAACAAGCATTTAAAGTCAGCCATTTTATAAAAACCTATAAAAAGGAATTTCTCAGAGTAAAGGCATGACTGGAAGGATGTCCAGGCAAATCACTGTGATCTCCCTAGTAACTTTCTCACCGCACCTTGGATCTAAAGTATCTTTGGAGACAGGCACAAAAATAATAATTTCTATGGATACCCTTACTGTAAAACTTTGAGGACTCTGGAAATCAGGCCTTTAAAAATAGCTGGCTCTGAAGAGAGCAGGTTGCTGCAGTGTACCATGTGACTCTTCTTCTCAGGGAGAGGTGTGTGGGGAATGTTGAGAGGACTCTTCTCCAATGGAGAAGAAACGGTGCGTGTCTCCTCCTCGTGGGCTGGATCATGCGGCAAGGCCGTGTTTTGGCTATTGCGTAAGTGCACATGAGTGGCTAAAGAACAGCAAACACAAGGAGTCTTTAGGAGGTATGTTTTTATCACCATGACTAAAATGTCAACCAACAGTTAATCTTAAAAGAAAAACACAGTTACTAAATATTCACAATACACAGTGAGAAAAAGAAAATCAAAGTTCATTTGGACTGGAAATCACCTTAGAGCTACACATAGGTCTTTTCTAAAAGGTGTGGTTTCACCATGAGTACCAGTGACATATCAGGTAGATGAAAGAACTATGTATCCAACTTTATAGCAGTTATTCTGGGGAAGGTAAGGGGACAGAACAGCAAACCAGGGAGGAAAAGAAGCAAGAAAGCCAGCACAATGTTCCATTTACAAATTAAGAAATACCAGGCTCAAAATGAAACATCGTCATTCCTTTTCTCTCTCTTATTCAGCTGCAAGACTGCTAGAAACATACACTGCTCTCCACCAATCCTTAAATTCTAAGGATTAAAGTGGGACTTCTCACTGAGTCTCGCATAGTCCCTCAGCTGCTGGTTGCATTTTCAAAGTTCAAATAGCATTAATTCTCTACTACTGACCACATAACACAATAGTTCCCAGGTGCTTCCTCACAAAAGACTTCTATTATACAATCACTCTGCCTCATTCTAAACGCAGACAGACTTGTGTAGATTTCTTCATTCTAATGGAGACCTAGACATGTTTGTCTTCCATTTGTTATCCCTCACTGTACCGTTGCCATGACCAATAATTCATTAAAGAGGTAAAGATGGATTAACTGCACAATCTAATTTGATTTTAACTGTTAGACACTATCCCTTTGGAATAACCATGGAGGAAAGAAGTACCGTATTTTTCGCTCCATAAGACGCACCTTTCCATAAGACGCACCAATTTTTTAGGAGAAGAAAACAGGAAAATATAATCTGTTTTCTTAGCTCCATAAGATGCATAGACTTTCCACACCCCTGTTTTGTGGGAAAAAAGTGAGTCTTATGGTGCAAAAAATACAGTAAATACAAGAAGATTCCACCTAATCCTGAGTATATATCTCAACCTGGACTAAGCAGTCAGAGAGAAGGGTACAGAAGGAGCAGCAGCCAGGAGCAAGCAGTCTGGAGAGAAATTCTCAAGGTACAGTCTCCTCATTAGAACCTGCCCTCTCCAGTGTTACCCTATCTTGGGGAACCCAGGTGTCCTTGAACTGCAACTCCCAAAAACCCCAGCCAATACAGCTGGTGGTGAAGGCTTCTGGGAACTGCAGTCCAACAACACTTGGGTTACCCAAGCTTAGGAACAACTGCTCTTCTCACTGACGACTCCAGACTCTGCTGTGCTTCCTATCATTCACTTAAGGTAAAACTAATGAGTGCTAGGAGAAGTGCGTATTTTCTGCTATTACATTTTCCATCCAATAGACATCCTTACACATGCATACCTAACTGATCAGATATGCAAATTAGGTCAGTATTTATCTTCCTATGATCAATCACAAAACAAAACATGCATTTTTAAGGTCACAAGAACTAAAGATAGGGAAAGCTGTTCATTGTAGACAGGAAGAGTGGCAGGACACCATGGGAGAACTGCCATATAAAATACAGCGATGAAACGAGAGTGGCAGAACCATGAGTACATTAAAATAAAAACACAAGATGTCAATTTGTAAAAGTAACTTACCAACATTATTAGGCAGCCTTTTAGGTTTACACTTCAAAGACTGTACAAGAGAGCCAGCGCCTATCTTCTGATTAATACTTTTTATTTTTATCACTGCATGTGGAAGACACTGCCTAGGTTTATCGACAGGTTTTGAAAGTTCATTGTATTCATAAAAATATACCTGCAAATGAGAAGTATCACAAGAATGTAAGTAACAGAATTTATAAAGATTTTAATGTATAAAATTATTGCTAAAAGAATTTCAGATTTGGATCATATTGTCAGAAAATGACTTCTAACATCCACTATCTCAAGAAATCTCTTACTTTCTCAATCTATCTTTATCTAGTCTAAAACATAAACTAAATATAAAATCAAATATCTGTGGAAACGTTCAAATATCTAACATGATAGCTTGGACCTCGAATTACTGTTATTATTATCACACTTTTAATAATATATTATGTTCTGTCTTGATCTTTGGAAAGACACAGATAAAAATGTGGAAAACATTTACTACAACCACACAATTGAATACAATAAAGAAATGTTTAATAAACCACAGCAGTAATGCAGTTCTCCTTTTATGGCTCACTGCAAAGCCAGTGGACTGTATAAAATGTTGTGTGACACTAGGGGCAAGAGATAGTTCTCCAAAGTTTTCTGCAACATGCACACATAAGAGCTCAACAAAATACATACTGCAGAAATATAGTAATCTGATGTAGTTTGTCAGCGTTGTTTCTATTTTATAGTAATTTTTATCTTTCTTTTGACTGTGTAGAGGTGATCTAGCACTAAACTAATGTACCAATGCATTGATATGGTGATAGTGCACTATTCTTGGCAACTGTTGGGGTGACTAGGGAGAAAGACTGTAGGGGCAAGTATCCATGCTATCCAAAACATCATACCCAGCTTAGTATGTCACCATAATACTATGCATAACCATGCCCCCTATCCTTTTGGAGAACGAAACAACTGATCATATGGGAAAAATATTGTTTGGATTGCTCCAGCTTTTAAAAAGTAAAAGCTAGGAGAGAACTAATTAATAACACAGTCGGTGGCTAAGTTTTTATTTTCAGTTTTAAGAATTCGTAAAGTGTTATATTAAGACAACCACATAACTCAAGTTTTATACTGCTGATATGTTCTAACAACTTATTCTGTATATCTTATATAATGTTTTTATCTTTGAATTTTTGGGTCTATTACCATATAATAATAAAACTCAAACTCAACAACTGATCATATGGGGAAAACATTACACTGGAACCTCGACTTACGAATGTCCCTACCTATGAACATTTTGACTTAAGAATTGCTCCGTTCGCAAAATATTGCTTCGACTTGTGAATGGAGCTTTGACCTTGAACTGCAACTGTTCTGTTTAAAAGGTGTTCTCCTGCCCTTTTTCTAAGCTAAAAGGTACTTGGTTTTGTTTAAAAGATGCTTGGGTTAAAAGGTGTTCTGTTTAGAAGGTGTTCCCTCCCCCCTCCTTTCCTGCCCTTTTTTTGACCTAAGTTCATCTTAGGTCAAAAGAAGAAAAAAGAAAAAAGTTCTCCCCCTAGTGGTAGAGTAAGAATTAACTGGCTCTGCATTAGTTCCTATGGGAACTAATGCCTCTACTTGCGAATGGCACCTCTAGATAAGAACAAAAAACAGCCAGAACAGATTAAATTATTTTCAGTGCATTCCTATGCGAAATTTTGCTTCGACTTACGAACATTTCGATGTACGAACACTGTTCCAATATGGATTAATTTCGTAAGGCGAGGTTCCACTGTATTTAGATTGCTCCAGCTTTTAAAACCCCTTCATGGATTGCTGCCTTGTCGTGGTGAAGGGGCTTGAGTAATTCAGAGAAACTATGGGCTATGCCGTGCAGGGACACCCAAGACGGACAGGTCATAGTGGAGAGTTCCGACTAAACGCAATCCACCGGGAGCAGGAACTGGCAAGCCACTCCAGTATCTTTGCCAAGAAAACCCCATGATCAGAAACAAAAGGCTAAAAGATATGACGCTGGAAGATGGGCCCCTCAGGTCGGAAGGCATCCAACATGCTACTGAGGAAGAGCGGAGGACAACTACAAGTAGCTCCAGAGCTAATGAAGTGGTTGTGCCAAAGCCGAAAGGACGCTCAGCTGTGGACATGCCTGGAAGTGAAAGGAAAGTCCGATGCTGCAAAGAAGAATACTGCATAAGAACCTGGAATGTAAGATCTATGAACCTTGGTAAGCTGGATGTGATCAAACAGGGGATGGCAAGAATAAACATTGACATCCTGGGCGTCAGT